CCCCCCCTCGAAAACCGAGTGTGGGTGCGGACAGTGGTGGGGACGGTGTTGGTGGGGACAGTGGTGAGGGGACAGCGGGACAGTGGTGGGGACAGCGGGGGGACAGTGGGACAGTGGTGGGGACGGTAGTGGTGGGGACAGTGGTGGGGACAATGGTGGGAACAGGGGGGACAGTGGACAGTGGTGGGAACGGTGGTGGTGGGGACAGTGGTGTGGGGACAATGGGAATGAGGTGGAAACAGTGGGACAGTGGAGGGTACAATGGTGGTGGGGACAGTGGTGAAGGCGGTGGCGAGGACGGCGGTGGGACAATGGGACAGAGGTGCAGTGGGGACAGTGGTGGGGACAGTGGGACAGTGGTGGGAACAGTGGGACAGCTCAGTGGGACAGCGGAGGAGTCAGTGGGACAGTGGGGACAGTGGGGACAGTCGGGCAGTGGTTGGGGCCGTGGAGACAGTGGGGAGAGTGGAACCGTGGTGGGAACAGTTCTGGGGACAGCGGGGGACAGTGCGACAGTGGTGGGGCCACTGGGGACAATAGGGGCGGTGGTGGAACCAGTGGGGACAGCGGTGGTGAGGACAGTGGTGCTGGGAACACCAGTGGGGGATGTGATGCGGACGGTGGTGGGGACCGGGAGTCGTTTGCTGGCGGTGAGTAAGGGGGGGGGGGGGGGGGAGGGGGGGGGGGGGGGGGGGGGGTTCGAACCGGTAGTGACCCCCCGTATCGGATCGGAGGGGGGGGGGGGGGGGGGGAAGGGTTCGAACCGGTTAGTGACCCCACCCGGTTTTCGATCCCCCACAAGCCGGGAGGGGGGGGGGGGGGGATTGGGGTTTAGGGGAGGGGGGGGGGGTGTTTTGAGGGGGGAGGGGGGGGGGGGGGGGGTCCAGCAGGGGGGGGGGGGGGATTTTCGGAGGGGGGGGGGGGGGGCGACCCCCGGGTTCCGGAGGAAAAGGTTGGCAATTTTCCACAGTAAAGCGGCGGTGGATCACGCTCTCTCTAATCTGTGGATGCACGAGACCGGGCACTGCCGTTGGCCTTCGCCTGCGCACGAGGAGCCAAGCGTAGCATATGCCCGCGTGTGCCTTCAGACAACGAAGTAAAGATCTCGAGGTGAGCGACCTCGAGGTATTGACCGCCTTCCTTGCAAGATGGGTAACGGTGATTGTGCAGGACCGCTGGCCTTTCCGCCGGGCTGTGTCCTGGAGGGCAGAACCTCCGATTGGAATGCTTCTCCGCTGGCATTGGCGCCAGGCCATGTCCTACGGACACACGCCACACGCTAGGATATGAGAATGTGCAGGACCGCCGGCATTGCCGCCGGGCTGCGTCCTGGAGGTCAGACCCTCCGACTTGTCCGAATGAAACTTGACAAAACCGGGCAGTGTCATGGAGGCGCATGCTTCCTAAGGAAATGTTGTAGGATCGCCAGTCTTGCTGGCAGGCTCCTGGAGGAGAAATCCGCCGGCGTGCTCGTTGAGACCATCTGGCGGAGCCGACAGGCAGCTGGTGTCAACCTCGCTCAGGAGGGCCATGCTTAGCCTGTCACTGGCGAAACGTGTTCCACCAGGGTGACCACCCAGGCGGGGCCTGTGGCTCTCCGACCCGAACCTGCAAGGTGGGCAATATAAGCACTGCTGGAGGAGGTCCGGTCTAGGGCGACGCATCCTCCATGTGCTGGGAGGGCACTTGAGCGTGCCTCTTGCCACTGTCGCCCCGCTGCTCACTCCCCTGGGGGCTCGGCTGGGGTGCTCGTCGGGCGTGGGGAATCCACGCCCTTAGTGGCGCCCCGTGCGTCCCCAGCCGACTCCCCCAGAGGAGTATAGAACAGCATTGGCACGGGGCGGAGGAGGAGGAGGAGGAGGAGGAGGAGGAGGAGGAGGAGGAGGGAGGAGGAGGAGGAGGAGGAGGAGGAGGAGGGAGGAGGAGGAGGAGGAGGAGGAGGAGAGGGGAGGAGGAGGAGGAGGAATTGTAGGCGGAGGATAACCAGCGCAGGCAGGGGGAAGGGTAGGATGAGAAGGGGGGATTGAGACTGTGGGAATGCGCATGTGGAGGAAGAGAAGCACGAGGAGGAGGAGGAGGAGGAGGAGGAGGAACAAAAGGAGGAAGATGAGGAACAGTAGGCGGAGGGGGCAAATGAGGTAGAGGATTTAGATAATGATGAGAGGAGGAAAAGCAGGGGGAGGAGGAAGAGGAGGAGGGGAAGGAGGATCGGGAGCAGGAGCAGGAGACGGAGGAGGATACGGACGAAGCGGAGGAACACGTGGGCGAAGAGGGGAAGGTCATGAAGAGGGGGTTCCGACTTAGCACCTCCGGCTTCGTGATGATGTCCATCACCCGCGCCGTCGTCTGCAAGCTCCTGCATGGCATGTGGCCCGCCATGGACGTGTTCGCCGCTGGCGTCGTGGAGGCCTCCACGCCTCACTTCCCCTCCTTGCCCCCTACCTCTCCTCCTCCATTCCTTGTTAGAATAAATCACTTCTCCCTGCCGCGCCCCGAGGCCAGTTTTTAGGGCGGGCCAGGTGTTTCGCTTGAGAACTCCTTACCACTTATGACTTCCTCACCACTCAACATTGGCAACCGTTTCGCACATGGAGTGCGGGTCGCTTTCGAAATTTGTTTCTCGCTTTAGAACTAAAAAGCTAACGAGCAAGAGCTTCGCGGATTGAGGGCTACCCGTTTTGAAGATGTGGCTCTCGCCTTATCGCCGCGTGTACTCGCTTTAAACATGTGCAAGAGTTTCACGGATTGAGGGCGGTTCATTTTCAACATGTGGTGCTCGCGTTAACGCTGCGCCCATTCGTTATTAGGTTTTCAAGGATGCCACGGGTTCCCATGATCAGCGTACTAGATGTGGTGTTTTGGGAGGATTCAGGGTTTTGAGTGTGCAACAGTTATGTTGATTCGCGGTGCTGAAGTTCTAGGAATGGCGTTTTGGCACGATTCAGGATCGTCAAGACGCAACAGTCAGGTTGATCCTCCGTGGCGTTGGCATCCCGAGAATCATGTTTTGGTTTGCTGCAGGGTCTTCAAACGGTTGTCTTCCAACGAGGCAGTTCCCTCAGTGGAAATGAACCGCTGTAGGGGCGTATGAAAAGGGAGCTTGGAGGGAGGGTTTATTCCAACATCGTTGATGATTTTTGGGGTTACTCTGGTCCTCCTGCTCCTCGTCCTCGTTTTCTCTCTCGTCCTTTTCTCCCTCCTCCACCTCCTCCTCCTCAGCCTCCTCCTCCTCCCACTCCTCCCCTTCCTACGCTTCGCTCCTCCTCCTCCTCCTCCTCCTCCTCGTCCTCCTCCTCCTCTTCCCCCTCCTCCTCCTCCCCCCCTCCCCTCTGCTCCCTATGTCACTCCATCCCTCTAGTTGTGCCGCTGTCCATCCTGTCCTGTTCTCCCCCGTCCTGTTTCGTCCAGTCTTGTCCAGTCTTGTCTTGCCTGCCAGTCTGCTTTCCTCTTCCGCAGTCTGTCTTTCACCGTTCTCTGTGGTCGCCGGATGGCCTTGTTGTGTCGCCACATTCGGGGCCGCATCGAAAAATTGGCTGAGATTAGGGCGGTGCAGCGTCCAGCCACAGTCCAATTGCCATGGCAGATTCGCCCCTTCCCGCTTGCCTTCCGCAAGGGTGGCGCCGTCAGGCTATCGCGCGCGTTCATATCGAGCACGCTGTCGCCAGCACGTGGCGTCACTGCGGCGCAGATCGGATCGTTCGGGTCGCGGCCAGGGGCAAACCCTTGGCAGCCGTCTTCACGCCAGGGCAACATCTCCGAGCTGCGCGAATCGCCATGGGCAGCGGAGTGGTTACCCTGTCTCAGGACGAGCGTTTCGAGGCCGAGAGTTCGACCAGGTTTGATATGCCCAGCGTCGGCCCATTTGGTTACTTCGCGACGGCCGACCAGGCCTCTCGTGCGCGCAGCGTGCGCTCCAGGGGCTGATTGTGCCAGGCCTGCTAGTTTGAAGCTTTACGATGCGCAGTCCATTCGTCCATACTACCTCAATCTCTGGCCTCCAGAGCGTTGAAGGATGTGTGTTTTCTACTGTGTGATTTGCAAGTCGCTTCACCTTCCTGTATAGGCTATGCCATATGTCTGCACACGCATCTAGTCTTTTATAATACACATGTACACGTAGTTAGTCAGCGTGGACCAGAACAAATGTGCTTCTAGTAATGTACGTTGTGCATTTTTCTGAGCGATATACGTGATGCAAGCCATGTGGTGCAATCTATTCGGTGCGTTCTATGTTGTGCAATTTATGTTGTGCAACATATGCTGTGCGATCCATGTGGTGCAATTCATGCGATGTAATCTATGTTGTGTCCACTATGGCTTGTGCGATATATGTTGTGCAATCTATGCTCTGGATATATATGTATATGGTGCAGTCTATGCAGTGCAATTCACTTTGACTGTCTTGAAGCCTCCCACCCGCAAACATCCCACCCTCCCACCTGCAACTTGGTCGCAAGACTTTTTAAGACCGTGACGGTGGGACCCAAATTGCACTTGGCAACGACAGCGATGCCGACGACGACAGCGACAACGACGACGACGCCTACCACGACTACGACGACACCGACGACGTCTCCGACGACGTCGACGACGACGACGACAGCGACGACGACTACGACGACGACGGCGACACCGACGAGGACGACGATGACGACGACGCCGATGCCGACGACGACGGCGACGACGATGCCGACGACGAAGACGACGACGACGCCGACGACGACGACGACGATGACGAAGACGACGCCGACGACGACGACACCGACGACGACGACGACGACGGCGACGTCGCCAACGAAGTCGACGCCGACGACGAGGGAGGAGGGAGGACGACGACGGTGACAACGACGACAATGACGACGGAGCAGGGAGGACGGCGACGACGCGAACGACGAAGAAGGAGCGAGGACGGCGACGCCGACGACAACGACGAGGGAGGAGGGAAGACGACGACGACGACGACGGCGGCGGCGACGAAATTGGAAGGACGACGACGTGACGCCGACGACGGAGGACGACGACGACGAGGGAGGAGGAAGGACGACCACGGCGACAGCGACGACGGAAACGAAGACGACGCCAAAGAGGACGATGACGACGACGACAACGAGGAAAGACAGAGGACGACGACGGCGACGACGACGACGAGGGAGGATGGAGGACGGCGACGACGACGACGACGAAGCAAGAGCGCGCGCGCACGCTTTTGTTGGAACATCCGTGTTGCGAAACCATAGGGGTTTGTATATTTTCTTGGACACTCGATGTTCACTACCTAGGCTCTGCCTAGAAGGGTTCTTACTCTCTATCTTAAAGGGGCCGGGCAGTGTTGCCCGCCCCGGGCGGTTCCCCCAGTCCCCGCCCCGCGGTGCCCCCAGTTGCGCCCCCTGGGTTCACCCAGCTTAGCTTAGCTAAGCTTAGCCAAGCTAAGCTAAGCTTAGCTGAGCTGAGCTGAGCTAATCTCATCTTAGCTTAGCTTAGCTTTGCCTAGCCTAGCTTTGCCTAGCCTAGCTGAGCTTAGCTTAGCTTAGCGTAGCGTAGCCTAGCTTAGCTTAGCTTAGCCTAGCCTAGCTTAGCTGAGCTTAGCTCAGCTCAGCCTAGCATAGCTCATCTTACCTTAGCTTAACTTAGCTTAGCGCAGCGCAGCATAGCGCAGCGCAGCATTAGCACATCATAGTATAGCAACGCATAGCCAAGCATAGCATAGCATAGCTCAGCATCGCATAGCTCGCCGTAACATATCATATCATAGCATATCATAGCATAGCGCAGCATAGCATAGCACATCATAGCATTTATTAGCATAGCACAGCGCAGCATAGCATAGCATAGCATAGCACACCATAGCACAGCATAGCATAGCATATCATGCATATCATAGCGCAGCATAGCATAGCATAGCATCGCATAGCGCAACATACCTTATCATATCATAGCCTAGCATAGCATAGCATACCGCAGCCCAGCATAGCACGCATAGCAGAGCATAGCATATCATAGCTTAGCATCGCATAACTCATCGTAACATATCATAGCATAGCGTATCATAGCATAGCGCAGCATAGCATAGCATATCATAGCATTTATTAGCACAGCATAGCGCAGCATAGCATAGCATAGCATAGCATCTGATATCATAGCATAGCATAGCATATCGCAGCATACCATCGCCTAGCATCGCCTAGCATAGCCTAGAGCAGTGCTGAACAGCCTGCAGCTCTTGCAAGCAGGGCTGAACAGCCTGCAGCTCTTGCAGGAGCCGCGAGCAGTGCTGAACAGCCTTCAGCTCTTGCAGGAACCGCGAGCAGTGTTGAACCTAGTGCAAGCAGTGCTGAACAGCCTGCAGCACTTGCAGGAGCCGCGAGCAGTGCTGAACAGCTTGCTGTCGCTGGGTGCACAGCACAGCAAGACAAAACAAAGCGCAGCATAGCATATCATAAAATAGCATAGCTTAGCTTAGCACAGCGCAGCATAGCATAGCATAGCATAGCATAGCATGCCATAACATAACATATCATATCATAGCATAACTTAGCTTCGCTTAGCTTAGCTGAGCTTAGCTTAGCTGTAGATGTGGATGTAGCTGTAGATGTAGGTGTAGGTGTAGCTGTAGATAAGGAATGCTACATGTGTGTGTGTGTGTGCGTGTGTGTGTGTGTGTGTGTGTGTGCATGTGCCCTACCTAGGCTGTACCTAGGCTCTGCCTAGAAAGGCAAGGCACTGCAAAGCAAAAGCAAAACCACTGCGAAAGTGTAGATGTAGATGGAGATGTAGGTGTAGGTTTAGATGTGGATATAGGTGTAGATGTATATGTAAATATAGATGTAGGTGTAGATGTAGGTGTATATGTAGATGCGAATCTCGCTGTTGATGTTGATGTAGATGTAGATGCAGGTGTAGATGTTAATGTAGCTGTCGGTGTAGATGTAGATGTTGCTTTCCTAGATGCTCCAACTCCTAGGTAGGGTCGCACTGGGATAATTGAGATTCTTCCGACACCCTCTCTTTTCCGACACCCGTCCCGTGCGGCACGCTGCCTGGTCACCCAGAACAGAACTCTGCCCTGATCCAGATGTTACGCCTGGTCCAGGGCGACGCTTTGCTGTACACCGATTACCTCCCCACAGCTCGAGCTTCGGGAAGGAAGAACCTCGAGGTCAAACATTCTTGTATGTTGGACTTGTGGCAGCAGGCATCCGAATTGTTGAGCAGCAGGTCAGGCAGCCTCGAGGTGAAATGGTGCAAGAGTCACACTGCTTGGTAAGAGGTTGTCGCCCCCCGCCTGACCCCCCCCTCAGTACGGCATGTCCTTCCCAGCCCCGTACATGACTGGCGCCAGGGCCGAGCTTGCACTCTTTTGCTCCTGTTTGCTGGAATCGCTGGAATCCCTGCTTCCTCCTCTTCCTCCTCCTCCTCCTCTTCTCTCTCCTCCTCCTCCTCCTCCCCCAGAGCCGCCGCCAGAACTCGTCACGCCGCCCGGCGGCCTCGGCCTTCAAGGCCGCCTCGGGCGGCGAAGCGCTGCCGTGCCGCCGCCGCCGCCGCCGCCGCTGCCGCCTCCCGGCGTGGCCGCAGGTCGACCTTCGCCCGGTGCGGCTGGGCCAGAACTTCGTGGCCGCGCGCTCGGCCCGCGGGCCGCCACTCCCCCGACGCGCTCCCGCTGGGCCGTCAGAGGAAGGCCAGTTGAGGCGTCGGCGCGCACCTCCTCCCTGCTCCTCCTCCTGCTCCTCCCCTTCTCCCCTCCTCCCTCGCTCCTCCCTGCGGCTGCTCCGCCTCCTCGTGTTCCCTGCTCCCTCGTCCTCCTTCTTCTCCTCCTCCTCCTCCTCCTCCTCCTCCTCCTCTTTCTCTTCCGGGGAGGAGGAGGGCGGGGGGAGTGTGGTGGTGGATGGAGATGGGGTGTGGGTGGTGTGCTCAAGAGGCAGTCGGAAGGGAGGAGGGTGAGGAGGGTGAGGAGGAGTGGGGCGAGGGCGACGAGTGAGGAGGAGGAGGAGGAGGAGAAGGAGGAGGATGATGATGATGATGATGATGATGATGAGGAGGAGGAGGAAGAGTTGGAGGAGGAGGAGGAGGAGGAGGAACATGGGAGGGGGAAGGAGGAGGAGGACGAGGAGGAGGAGGAGGAGGACAATGATGAGGAGCAGGATGCTTTGAGGATTGACAAGGAATGCGTTTTGGTTTGGAGGTGTGCGGGGCGCCGTCGGGAAATAATGGGGTCGGAGGTGGAGGTGGAGGAGGAGGAGGAGGAGGAGGAGGAGGAGGAGGAGGACGAGCTGGAGGAGGAGGAACAAGAGTGCTAGGTGTAGGTTGAGTTGGTTCGAGGGTCAGAGAGCGCCTTCCTGTGCAGAACCACCAAAAAAGGGACGCCAAGGTGGTCAAACGCCTCGCCGCTTAAGCCGACGAACATGTGCAAAGGCCAACCGTTCGCTAATGACATTTTTGTTGGCTCGACGCCGGGTGTGGTGCATCAATTTCAGCTTGACCGAACAGGTTGGTTGCGCCCCCTGACGTCCGTTTGGGGTGTTCTGCAGACCTGGCCCTCCATCCCTACTCGAGGTATTGGCTTGAGATAAGATGCCGATGCTTGTCACGAGGTGTGTCCTCTATTGCTGGCAAAGCCGAGGTCAAGTGGCGCAACAAGCCAGTCTTCATCCGCAAGCGCACCCAGGCCATGATCGACTCCGCGACCAAGGACTGGCCCCCGCAGCTGCCTTCCCGTCTCCGCCCGTCCGCGCCCTCCTGCCCCGCCTGCTCCGCCAGGGCACTCCGCCCCGGGTTGCTCGATGAGCGCTGTGGGCAGTTCGCTTGCCGCACCGACCACCTGCCGACCTCCAGCACTCGGGGGCAACGTGAGGAGGGGATAGGCTCGGGGGAGGGGGCACATCGACCTCCCATCGCACATTCGTCGCCGGTGGGGGGCCGCTCGCCCGGTCCCGCCCAGGAGCGTGCGGTGCCGCTATCGGTGGGCCACCGCCGATTTATCGGCGACGTGATTCCAGGTCCCCCCGTGCCAGCTCCCCCTGTGACGTTGCCCCTCATGGAGGGGGGCGCGGGAGAGCGGCGGCAGCAGGGGTGCCGCGGCCCCTTCGGGCCGCGGGGGGGTGGCTGCGCAGTCTGGGCCCTTCGGCTCGCACGGGCGGACGTGGCCGCGTCGTGCCGCTCGGCAGCGGTGCAGGGTGCACAGGGCTCAGCAGAGTCAGGAGCTCGTATGGCTGGCTTCTGGGGACCCTCGCGGACTGAGTGCGACGGGGAGCGCCCCTCCTCCCTGGCGAAGGCGCCCGCGCTCTTGAGGCCGCGGACCTCCTCGCGGCGCCCAGCGCATCCCCTGCTCCCTTCGGCCGCCTCCCTCCCCAGCTCCCCCGCATACCCTCCCCAGATATCTGGGGCCCCCCCGCGGTGCGGTGACCACACTGCGCGGTGAGTCGGTGGGGATTCGGAGCGGCCGCACGGTTTTGGGTTTCGGGACTCGGGCCGTTCTCCGAGGACGTCTCGGGCGATTGGCACCTGCCGGGTCCATAAGCCCCGCGGTGGCGGACCCTGCCTGTGAGGTCCTACGGGGGTTGGAGGTCGCCGCACGGTCTGTCGCCGCACGGCTTCGGGACCCCCCAAGGTAGGCTTATGTCGGGCATGTCCCCCTACAGGGGGATTTTCGACGACAAATAACAAATACCCCAAACATAGTCAAACAATAGTCCAAAAATAGTCAGGGGACTATTTTTGGAGTATGTTTTGACCTTTCTGGGGCATTTTGGGGGTATTTTTGTATTTTTCGTCGAAAATCCCCCTGTAGGGGGACACGCCCGACTTAAAGGCAGGCGACGACGTGCTTTTTTGTCCAGCCCGGGCGCTCTCTCTCTCGATCTCGGCCCTGGGGGCCCGTAGTCGGGCCCGAGGACCGTCGGAAACGGATCTGGGGAACCAAAAGCACAGGAGGGAACAAAAACGCACAGACACAATTCATCGTCGATCCCCCAGAAAATATGGGAAAATATGGGAAGTGGGGGGAAGACGAAAACCCAGGAAGCATGGGAAACTATGGGGAATATCTTTATTTGGGTGTATTTGCTTGTGTGTCCTGGGGCCCCTTCAAACACAAAGCCCCCGGGGAAGGGGTTGGCACCTTGTGGGGTCGCGCCTCGCCGCGTGCCCTGGTCGCATCTCCGGGAGCCCGCAGCCGCTCCAGAGCGCCTCCGGGGGGACGCCGACGCCCAGCAGTGGTGGTGAGGAGGAGGAGGAGGAGGAGGAGGAGGAGGAGGAGGAGGAGGAGGAGGAGGAGGAGGAGGAGGAGGAGGAGGTGAGAGAGAGAGAGAGAGAGACGGCGCGACTGACTGCTCGGCGTGGGGCGCGTGCGGGTGAGGGTGGCAGGGCGGGCCGTCGGACGGGGGGAAAGGGAGGCTGGGGGTCTTGTCCACGCGAAGCTTGGCTGGGTGCTGGAGCACCCCCTCCTCGCCTCTTCTTCCTGCTGCTCCTCCTCCTCCTCCTCGTCCTCCTCCTCCTCGTCCTCCTCCTCATCCTCGTCCTCCTCCTCGCCGTTGTCTGCATCTATTGCATCCTCAGTCTCCTCCGAGTTTCCTCCTGTCCTCTCCGCCTCTGGGCCCCCGGGCGGATCGGGCTCGCCTGGGCCTGATGGCCCTGAGCCCTCAGGCCGCCTCCGCAAACCTCCTCTCCCTCCTCAAGCTGCCTCGAACCCCACTTTTTGGCATCAGGGCGCCTGCGGTCCATCCCGCAGGCACGAGCTCTGCGGCGGCGGCCCCGCCGCCGCTGGACCCCCCGCGAGGAACCTCGCGAGAGGCGAAACTGCGCGCCGACCGCGATGCGGCAAGCGCGTGCGAGCCCCCCTGTGGGGGCCCGCCGAGCAAACTCGGCTGGGGCCCCACCTCTTTGGCGTGGGTAGGTGGGACCCCAAAATGCAAGCGGCTCCTCAGAGCCTTGATAAACACGGCAGCGGGAGAGGACAAGCAGAGGAGAGGCTAGAGGAGAGGCTACGAGGCGGAAGGAAACCCACTGTTCTCACGAACGATCGCGTTTCCTCCTGTCCTCTCCGCCTCTGGGCCCCCGGGCGGATCGGGCTCGCCTGGGCCTGATGGCCCTGAGCCCTCAGGCCGCCTCTGCAAACCTCCTCTCCCTCCTCAAGCTGCCTCGAACCCCACTTTTTGGCATCAGGGCGCCTGCGGTCCATCCCGCAGGCACGAGCTCTGCGGCGGCGGCCCCGCCGCCGCTGGACCCCCCTCGTGCTCTCCTAGCGGCGCAGCGCCGCCCCGTCTGGTGCGTCCTGCACCAGGTCTTCTCTTAGCGCGCCGCGGGGCCCACCTCGAGGGCCCCCGCACGCACTGGCGGGGGGACCTGGCCCCGCACAGCCCAGCACTCCTAGCTATGCTTAGCGCCGCATTGCCAGCCTCGAAGCTCCCCTGCGCTCTCAGCACTGGCCTGATCGGCCCTGCTGCCCACGCGCTCTGAGCCTCCGGCCAAAGCGACTGCACAACTCCTCAAACCATCGTGATGTCGGTGGCCGCCATACTGCTGGCAACCCCCTCTGCCATGCCGCGCGCCTCCCACAGGTACCCCTGGAAGGCGTCGCTGTTCCACCTGCCCCAGCGCTGCACCAGAGCGGTGTCCTTGAATGCCGCGTACAATGCCGACGCTCCTCCGATCCTCAGGCTGTGCGACCCCAGGTCGTTCGGGTCCATGCCCTCCGCCACCGCCGACTGCATCACCACACGCTGGACGTCAGCGCGTGTCACCAAGCGCATGTCGTTGAAAGCAAACAGGGGGTCGTACATCTGCGCGCCCGAGAACCTCTCGTTGGCCCAACCAGCATAGATCTCGAGCGCCTCCACCACGCAAATGTGCTCAGCTCGATCTGCATCCTCCGTGACCACGATACGAAAGTGGTTGTGCCACTCGCCCCTGTTGTACTGATCGGTCTTGCTGGCCCGGATCTTGATGACGACCTCGTTCGCCTCGCCCCACGCGCGGGTCGGCTCGCCGCTCGCCTTCGGGGTGACGTCAGCTCCCCGAAGGCCTTTGTTGCCCATGTAGCCGTTCTGATCGTTCGAGACGTACTCGCTGGCTCTCAGAAGGAAGAAGTAGCCCGTAGCCACCGCGGCCCACAGAGCTGCGCCCACTCTCGACCTCTCTGGCTGCAGCTTCCGCCTGATCCACCTCATCATGCGGGGAGTGACTGGCTTCTTGCGCTTGGTGCCGCCATCCCTTCTTCTGAGCCCGTCGATCGCCATCCAGAGCCTACCAGCGCCTTCCGTGATGTCGCCCATGCCGAGCGCGAGGTGCTGGGCTCGGACCGAGCTCAGGTACTGCTTGATGGTGCCCGCCTTCTTGCAGCCTCGGCGCGCCAAGTGGATGACGAACTCCAGCAGCAGCTCCTCCTCATTCCTCCTGCTCTCTGGCGTGATCTCGCGAAGCGGACTGATTCCCCTCGTGCGGCAGAAGAGAGTCCACCACCTCCAGCCAATGCTGTACGACTTGATCGTGGAGCTAGCCAGCTTGTCGAGAATGAGCTCAAGCTTGGCCTTCTCCCAGTCCTCGCGCGTCTTGAGGTCCGCCAGAGTGAGGTCGTCCGGGCGGGCACTCGCTCGGACTGCTTCTGGTCCAAGGAGGTTGGGCGGCTTGTTCTCGTACGTGCCGTGGACCTTCTTGCTGCCTTTCTTGCCCTTATGCGAGATGGCCCCCGATCTGCGGTCATGCTCCTCGCCTGCGCCCATGGTTGCCAGGGCCCAGTCGAGCCACCCACCTCTCTGCTCGGGGTAGCTCCACCTCCTCACCAGCGCCTCGAGCTCCTCTTCAGCTTGCGCCTGCTTGAGGCACCCGCTCCTGCGGTCGTCTCCTCCACCGCTATCGCGCCTGCGATCCCCACCCCGATCGCGACGGCGGCCTGAGCCATGTATGGCATCCCGTGCCATGGCCTCGAGGTGGGTGCGAACGCCCCTTCTCGCCCGGGCCTGCACTGCCAGAGCTCCGCCTGTCCGCCAGGTAGCGCGCCACCGCGTGCGGGTTGATCTCTACGTCCTCGCCGGGCAGCGGCGCGTAGGCCGGGCGCTCCTCCGCCTCGGCCTGCCGCGATGTGTGGAGCGGCGGGGAGCTCGGCGCCGATGGCCCAGGCGATGGAGAGCGCTCAGACCTAGGCGGCCCCCGGCTGAGGCCCTCCCGTGGCGTCCCTGGCCTCTGCCACGCCTCGTTCCTCCTGGCCATCTCCGCCGCGTCGTCCTCATCGCGCTTGATCTGAATGGCTCGGGCCCTCAGCGCCGCCATCCTGGCCTCACTGCCCGTGCCCGCGTCGGCCTCCCCCGACTCCGCCTGCAGCTCCGTGTTGACAGAGCTCGCAGCATCATCCTCGCCTCCGTCGTCCTCTGGGGTGGCACTGCGCCTGGGCGGGCTGCGCGAGGCTGTCCTCTCTCTGGGTGACGGCATCGGCAAGGGCTCCTCGACGCGGGCACGCGGCACGCCACTGCTCCGCGTAGGCCGTGGGGGGGACTGAGCTAGCCCTCCTTGCTGGGCTCGCTGGGCGTCTCCTTTCCTCCGACGACCTAGACCGCTCCTGACCCTCGGGCGTGGCTGTCCCGCCGTGTCTCTCCTCAAGCACCTGCGGGCGCAACTCCTGGGCCCGTGCTAGGGCGCGCGCCGCGTGATCCAAAAGGCGGCGGTACTCCTGGTTTGCCGCGCTCTTCCCGATGGTGC